AACTGCCAGCCAGGCGCGTCAGGAGGAAAACCAAGGAAAAGCAGGGAATGGCGTGAGCGGAGAGCTTGTCCGCGGTGGTATCGCGGACAAAGGCACGAGCACCCCAGACCCGGAATCGCGACGCATCGCCAACCTTCCCCATCCACAGCAGTGTGGGCGAGGTCTTCGGCAAGGAGACATGGGGCCAGAGGTTGAGCTGATGCGCGGCGTACCGGACCGCAAACGGCCACAGAAAATGGGGAGCCGCCGCATGGATCATGGAGGTACGAGCAACCTCCATGACTAAGCCAATGCGGTGCTCAGCAACCCATTCTGCTGCGGAGAGGCCGGAAGCGTGAACGACTGGCGGATGCCGTGCTCCGCACAGAAGGCTGCCAAGAGGTCGGAGGAGAACCCACCACCTCTGTCAGAGTGCAGACGCAGGACAGGAAAGTCCGACTCGAACCGCTCGCAGAGCTGGAGACGAACAGCGCGGATCCAAGGGATCAGGACAGCAGGGACATCCGCCTTGCGCTGCAAGGGGAAGACCGTGGTGTAACACGTGTAGTCGTCGACAACCAGCAGGAAGTACCGCTCGCGGCCCTGTCCCTCGACGCGGACTGATCCCCACACGTCCAGGTGGAGGGTCTGCAGAGGAGCCTCTGTGGAAGGGAACGAGGAGGAGTGAGGAGCGGCGCGCTGCCGCCCCTCGACGCAAGGAATGCAGGGCGGCGCAGGCGAGGGAGGGAGGGCAGGTAGAGACCTGGGAAGACCAGAGACCAGGGAGCGAGAGTGCATGCCACGAAGGCGAGGCAGGGAGGGGTGACCAAGGCGGTGGTGCCACAGGAGAGTCTGGTGCGACAGGCGGCGACACTCACACTGGGTAGCTACCTGAGCACACGCCTACAGCTGAGGAGACAAAGGGGTGTAGCGCGACGCAGTGGTGAGGGTGTACAGACTGTACCCAGGCGCACGTGTGAACATGGCCAGGTGACGGCCGGTCTGAGAGCACGTACAGATCGCCACACGCTGCAGCCCAGGGGTGAAGGTATCCACCCCCGCATCCTGGAGGACAGCGTTGCTCACCAAGTTTGTAGAGAACGAGGGGAGGTGGAGACCAGACAGCTCACCAGACGGGACCGCCGGACACGGAAGCACAGTGGTGGACCGTGCAAGCACTGGGCCCCCAGAGGGGTCAGCCAGTGAGACAGGGACAGGTGCAGGGAGGGGTGTGACTGTGGTACTGTCACGAAAGAAACAGCGCGAAGCACCAGAGTCAAGTGTAAAGGTGTGCAAGGCTGAGCAGACGAAGTACCAGAGAGAGCAGACCCACTAGCACCTAAAGCTGCAGGCGATATACCTGGGTCTATACCGGGGTCAGGCGGCACACACAAGTAGCAGTCACCCTCAGCACTAACAGTCAATGCATACATGGCAGCAAGAATAACATCATAGTCAAGATCAAAGATAGGAACACCACGCCTAAGCAGGTCTGCCCAGTTGGGGAACTCAGTAGCCTCAGGAAACTTGACGCGCCAGGCGTCGCTAAGCCGAGCAAAGCAGCGATACTCAGTGTGAAAACCATTGCATGGGCGACCAGTGCAGGGACCTGCGCGAATAATATAGGGGCAGCGACCAGCACTCCCAGATGCCCCACGCCCGGCATACCAGTCATGAAGCTACTGAGACGGAGGGGCCTGGCGCTGACGCTGCTGCTGCTGCTGCTGCCGCTGCTGCTGCTGCTGCTGCTGCTGCTGCTGCTGCTGCTGCTGCTGCTGCTGCCGCCGCTGCTGCTGCCGCTGCTGCTGCTGCTGCTGCTGCTGCTGCTGCTGCTGCTGCTGCTGCTGCTGCTGCTGCTGCTGCTGCTGCTGCTGCTGCTGCTGCTGCTGCTGCTGCTGCTGCTGTGGCTGCTGCTGCTGCTGCTGTGGCTGCTGCGGCTGCTGCTGCTGCTGCTGCTGCTGTCCCTGGCCACCACTGCTGCCACCACCACTGGCTCCTCCCCCACTACCGCCGCTGCCACCGCCACTGCTCCCGGTACCACCGCCGCCTCCACCACCACCGCCACCACCCCGACCACCCCCACCTCCTCCACCTCCCCCACCGCCACCACTAAAACCCCCTCCACCGCCACCTCCACCTCCCCTGCCAGCCCCTCTGCCCCTGGTGCTGCGGCGCTTCCCACTAGGAGCGAAAGAACCCCCAACCTCCTCAGCACCAAGGAAGTCGACAGCAGCAGCAGCAGAGGCGTAGGAGGGGGCAAGGGGGGAGGGGGAGCACCCCTCAAAGAGGGGAGTGCGAGGAGTGCCACGAGCAGCACCGACAGCAAGAATGTTCTTCTCAGCTTCTAGGAGGTGCTTCTCGAAGTCGTCGACGGTGAGAGCGGTAGGGTCTAGAGCGAGAAAGTGGTCCCTGACTGAGCGAAGAGTGTCAGGGAGGCGGGTGACGAGGAAGTAGAGCGTAAAGTACATCGGAGGGGTGTTCTTGGCGAGGAACTCGTCGGTAAGGGCGGTACGGAAACGAGTGTCACTAGCGCGCAGGTGAGCGATGAGGTCCTCAGCAGTGTGAAACGAGGACAGGTCGGGGAACAGGTAGGGTAGCATGAGACGGCCTAGCGTTGCAGTGGCCGGGGAGGAGTAGCGCGCAACTACAGCGTCGTACAGTGCCTTAGCAGTCTTGTGCTGGCTGAAATGCGCGCGCTCAGTGATCGGCAGATGGTTGCAAATAGCGAGGCGCGCAGCAACATTGTGAGTCTGCCACTGTGAGCGTTCTAGAGCAGGAGCATCGTCAGCAGGAGCAACGGCAGTGCCAGATGTGTGATCGAACAGTGAAACGCCGTCTTTGGCATCAGTCATAAGAAACAGTGTGAGATCGTCGAGCCAGGTGGCAAACTCTATCGAGCGACCGTCAGGCTCAAACGCAAGAACATTAAACGTCGCCATAATCGCATTGCAGGCAGAGGCAGTAGGCAAGACTATGTGCGAGGCCGCTAAGTGAGCGCGCAAGCCGCAAGGGCGGCATGCAAAGTAGCCGCAGGCAGCGCAGGCAGCGCGCGGAGGAGCAGGAGGCTGCGTGCAGGCTGCAGCGGCGCGGCGCAAGCAGGTAGGGCGGCGCGCGGGGCTGCGGGGGGCCGTGCGCGGGCAGCTAAGGCGCGGCGCGGGCTGCGCGGGCGGTGCGCGGGGCAGCTGCGGGCCGCGCGCGGGCTGCGCGGGCTCGGCGCGGGCTGCGCGGGGCAGGAGCGGGCCGCGCGCGGGCTGCGCGGGCTCGGCGCGGGCTGCGCGGGGCTGCGGCGGGTCGCGCGTGGGCTGCGCAGGCTCGCCGCGGGCTGCGCGGACGGCGCGCGGGGCTGCTGCGGGCCGCGCGCGGGCTGCGTGGGCTCGGCTGACGTGAGCTGCGCGGGCGGTGCGCGGGGCAGCAGCAAGGCGCGTGCGGGCTGCAAAGGCGACGCGCGCGGGGCAACAGCAGACAGCAGGCAGCAGACAGCAGGCAGCGCGCGTAAATTAGGTCTGCGCGCGAAGCAGCAGCAGACAGCAGACAGCAGGCAGACGACGCGTGCAGCGCAGCACGTCACAGTCACAGTCGTGGGGTAGCGGTAGGTGGGCCCGAAAAAAAAAAAAAAAAAAAAAAAAAAAAACGGTCCTACGGACCTACTGCTCTGAAACCATGTCAGAAACTAGAGACAGGAATGAGAATGATTAGTCAGGGTTTGGTACAAGTATGAAACCCTAATGGGGTTGTACCCCATATCAGCTACCCCACTACAGCCTATACAACTATATAACATACATATAAGTTTGACACAGTCTCGACCTCTACTGCTGAAGCTGAGTTCTACGCTGGAGCCATGGCTGTACAGAAGTTGTGTTGGTTGACCTTCTTGCTCACTGACCTTGGTGAGCGGCCGAGCTCTGCACCGACCTTGTTCACTGACAACAAGGCGGCGATTCTTCTCTATCGGGAGCCTCGGATGGAGAAAAGAGTGAAGCACATCAACGTCAGGTACTTTCTTCTGCGAGAGTTGCAGAGGCGTGGACAGGCTCGCTTGGACTTCGTCTTAATTCTAAGACGAGCATTTTTCCCATCTCCCAATTAACCGTCACTTACCGCAAAGTAGAACTATCCTTTGTGAAATTCTGAAATTCATACAAACACAGTACAACTGAAACGCATATTGTACAAAACTACTATACTACTGTATGCGCTTTCAAAGGGTACATGGAACATCTGCTGACTGTTTGTGCGGACACAAACGGTATGGATATGCACGATCAGATTTCACCTACTATTTTTCCTTTCGACATTTTTGGGATGCGCCTTTCCTTTATGGTATGCTGATTCGCAGGTCCCTTATTCTCGGTTGACACCAAGCACCTATCCCGCAAATTGGGGAAACGCATTTCTCCGTGCGATGCGTTAGACAAACCATTAAAAGATTGTACTTCTGCCAGCAGCAATGAAGAAACTATTGAGCGTGCCACCGCAGGTAGCTGTCATTGCAGCACTGATCGCGGTGCGATGTGCGGCGGAGGTTCCTCCAGCTGCCGTGATCTTCGGCATGGAGTCGGATCTCGAGCACGCCATGTCTCTCTATCGTGTGAGTCGGACCTCGAGCATGCCATGTCTCTCTATCGTGTGAGTCGCGCGTCGCGTTGTCTGTCTCGCGAGTCTCACACTCGTGTTCTCCCCATGCCGGTCGTACCTACATTCGGTCGTTGGTGGAGTATATTCACCTCGGCGAACTTTCCAGGAAGCCTCTCCATGCACAAGGAGCTTCTTGTTCGCATCAAGAGTCCTCCTTGCCTGGCGGATAGCCATCGGCGCGGCTCGTTTGTGCCTTGATACTTTAATTCTCACGCCTTGCGTTTCCGCAATCCCATGCCGCACAACTATTTGGGAATCACTTCTGAGAATTGTCAAAAGTGCCCCTCTCGCTCCGTTTGGTAGCGCTCCTCCTCGTGCCACCTACTTCCCACCTTCCGCCTCCCCCCCGCACCCTCCGCCTTTCTTCCTTCCCTCCCCCGCAGGCGTGGGAGCGCGCGTACGACTTGGCGGAAGGCACGATCCGCCCGCCCGCCAAGATCTCTCTTCCGCCAAACGTCCCCCCTCCGCCGCACCTGGAGGACTGCGCGGCGCGCACTGCGTTCCGCGAGGCGACGGAGAAGCGCGCGGCCAGTGGGGAGTCGCCCAAGTGGTCCACCTCGTCCGAGGCGTGCGGCTGGGTGCCGCAGCCGCCCTGGGTGGGTCACGCCTGGACGCTCTTGGAAACAGATCATAGTTCCTCACTCACCATAGGTGGCGGAGGGCTGCTCGTAGGCCGCACTGACGCCTCACGCTCTCCCCCTTTTCCGACTTCCCCCGTTCCCCGCCCATGCTCGTCACTCCACACCACACCCCCTCTTTCCCCCGTCTTTTCCCCCTTCTTTCCCCCCTCTTTCCCCCCCACCACCTTCCCTAATTTTCATACCACGATCACCCCCTCCTCTGTCTTTCTCCGCCTTCGCAAACTCCCCCTCCCCCTCCCCTCCCCGATCACCCTACCGCAATCTCTCCCCTCACCCCCTCCGCCTCCTGCGCAACCCCCCCAATCCCCCCTCCCCGCTTATCCCCGCGCCCAGATCCGCGGGTCGGACGCGGGCAACCTGGCGGCAACGCGGCGGGTGCAGCGCGACCTGTGGGAGCGGCAGTTCCCCGCGTCGTGCCGGGAGCGGCGGCTGGTGCTGATCGAGTGGTCACCGCTGGAGCGGCACGGGCTGGGGTCGCAGGTGCACATCATGACGGCGCTCTTCAGCCTTGCTGTCAGCTACAACCGCACCTTCGTGCCCATGCCCGGCTCCTACATGCGCGCCAACCACTCCGAGTGCCAAGGTGGGTCGCTTGCTTGCTGGGTGGGAGGCTAAGTGGACGGGTGGGTGGGTGGGTGGGTGGGCGGGCGTCGAGTGGGTTGCAAGGCAGCAGCATGTGGGGGAGGTACACGTGAGGGGCAGCGTGAGTGGTAACCATGACCACACCGAGATGCCCTTTCTCTCGCCCTCGTACCTCCATCCGTGCACTCTCCTCCCCCCTTTTCCACGGTGGTCAAGGCGCCCATGTGTGGGTGCTACATCTTTCTCCCAGTGGGGCAACGATTGCGACGACTGCCAACTCATCCCTTCACCCCTTCTTTTCCTTCCCTGTCGCTGGCTCTCCCTTCCTCCTTCCCTGTCGCTGGCTCTCCCTTCCTCCTTCCCTGTCGCTGGCTCTCCCTTCCTCCTTCCCTGTCGCTGGCTCTCCCTTCGAAATTCCTCCTTCCCTGTTCGCTGTTCCCCTTTCCCTTTCTCCGCTCCCCCCTTCCTCCTTCCCCTCCCTTCCCTCTTCCCCCTTCCACCTTCCCCGTCCCCGCCCCTGTCCCCCCGTCCCCATTTTCCTTCCCCCTTCCCCTCCCATCTCCGTCCGTCCCAACGCACCGCGTGCAGCCCTGGGCAAGGCGTCAACCTTCGAATGCTACTTCTTCCCCATGGTATCCAGGGAGTGCGAGGACATGGCCATGGCGGAGCACAAGGCGGGCCGCATCCCGCCGTGCGCTGACTTCTGCGGGCTGGAGGGGGCGCTGAGGTCGGACAGCCCAGTGGTGTGCGCCAACGACGACGACTACAACTTCCTTCGCCTGCGCGGCGATGCTGCCAGGTGTGCTAGGCTGGGTGGTTGCTGTAAGAGGGTTGCTACACACATTCAAGGCACACAGCTTGTGGTATGCGCGCGCCAAGAAGGACGAGATGACAACTTTTCCGTCTGTGATGAGGAGGCAGGTGAATCAATGATGGGTACTTCCCCCAAGGTGCACGGAGCACATCTTCTTGGCCGCCCCAGAGGCTCATCCCGCCAGGCAGACAGACTCGTGCTGTGCTGTGCTGTGCTGTGCTGTGCTGTGCGCTAGGATGCGTATGAGTCGTTGCTGGGACATGTGAGTTGACTCAAGAGGCACCTTGCTGAAAGGCTGCAATGGCACGAGCGGTGCTCTCCTCTCCTCCTTTCCCCCCTCCCTTTCTCCCTCCTTTTCCCCCTCCCTTTCTCCTTCCTTTTCCCCCTTTCTATCTCCCTTCTTTTCCCTCTCCGTTTCTCCCTCTTTTTCCCCCTCCCTTTCTCCCTCCTTTCCCCCTCCCTTTCTCCCTCCTTTTCCCCCTCCCTCTCTCCCTCCATTTCCCCCTCCCTTTCTCCCTCCTTTTACCCCTCCTTTCCTCCCTCCTCCTCGACCCTTTTACCGTCCCTTTCCGCCTCCCTTTCCCGCTCCCTTTCTCCCCCTTCCCTTCCCACTTCCGTTCCCCCTCCCCAGGCCTCACCGCTCCCCCTGTCTCCCCCCCTCCTAGGGAGCTCCACCGGACCACACGTACCGACAACGGTGGTGAAGCTTACAACTTCTTCATCCCACTCACAACAACCCCCCTCTCCTTGAGTCGACTCAACACATTCCCCGGGCCTCTGCCCCTGGCCTCCCCTCTTCCTTTCCTGCTCCCCGTGCCGGTAACCGTGTCGGTCCGTCCGTGGCAGGGAGTGGGGCGACGCGTACCTGCAGCGGCCCAACAAAGTGGAGCTCACCGGCTCCATGCAGCCCGTCAACCCCGCGCAGCGCCAGGTGGGCTCGCTGTGTCATGCCCTCAGGTGGGGTGTGTCATGGCCGCAGGTGGGGTGTGTCATGGCCGCAGGTGGGGTGTGTCATGGCCACAGGTGGGCTGTGTGTGTTATGTTCTACACGTGGGGTGTGTGACGGCTCAACACACAGGAGCGTGTGTGAGGGGCTGGGTATGGTGTTTGCTTGACTTGATGCACTTCATGCAGCCGATTAGCCCCATGCAGTGACGGGTGGGTTTTGAGCTGTGATGAAGCTCAAATGCTTCATGCAACCCGATACCCTCCTGGCCATGGCCTTGTTCATTGCGCTTCGGGTCACTCTCTACTCTACACGGCTCTGCTCTTGCATGCTTTGATGGATGCAAAGATTCGCCCAGTCAGTCCACTCCAGTCCTCTTCACTCCACTCCACTCCACTCCACTCCACTCCACAGGCCCCCTTATTCTCTTTTGAGTCGACTCGAAGGTCACCTTCTCCCCTTCCCTCCTCTCATCTCCTCTACATCCCCCCTCCTTCCAACCCCACGCACACCAGGTGCACTGGTGGCGAGCCCAGGCGATCCGTTTCATGCTGCGCTGGCCGTCGGCATACATGTGCCACATCACCAACCGCGTGCGGCACAATGCGTACGGCCAGCAGGTCGCCATCCACATGGCCAAGGCGGCAGCGGAGCAGGACGCCATCATTAAAGCCCTCAAACCGGACGATGCGCACAAGGGCCTGGCCATCAACTACGGGCAGGAGATCAACACGCTCTCCCACATGAACTTCTCCACGCCCAACCTCGAGAATGAGGTCTGGCCGGGCCTGGACTATGCTGGGTGTTCGCTGGACAACCATACGGACCCCGAGGCGCCAAAGCACGCGGCTGACTCGGTGTACGAGGGGGTGGGTGGCGAGCCGTATATCCCGCGCCCGATTGTGAGCATGCACGTGCGGCAAGGGGACAAGGCGGGCGAGATGCGGCTCATCTCCTTCCCCTCGTTCATGTTCATGGCCAACAGGCTCAGACGCAGGGTACCCTTCCTCAAATAGGTCTGGCTCAGCACTGAAATGCAGGTCAGCCACGGGCCGTTGCTGCATGGAATTGATCTTCTTTCCAGAAATTCCTTCGCTGCTCGTTTCTTCGTTTGCCTTGTCCTCTCACCTTGTCGAGCTTCAACTCACTCCTCCACATGTCCCCCCTTCGGCGCCAACATTCTCCCTCTTTCCTTCCTCCAATGGGAGGATGGTGGATCAGTGGCAGCAGTTATAAGGCTCACACATCTCCCCTGTCCTTGTAATGCCAACTTTCTAGTCCATTGTGCCTCCCGTGGCCTCCCTTTCTCCGCCCCGCTGTCCCTCCTGAGTGGGGCGGAGCAGTCACTGCAATACAAGAACCAAGCCTCTTTCTGCTCCACTTGCCTAATTCACTCACCATTCATCTCGTTCAATTCTTTGACTTCCCCACTCCCCTCTCCTCCCTCTCCCCTGTAAACCAAACAATCATCGCATTTCATTCTCGCTCTCCCACTCACCCTCCTCCCTCTCTTCCCCCCTATCTCTCCCTTTCAGAGTGTAATAGACCAGTCACAGCAGTACAAGGACTGGGCCTTCCTCTACTCCACGAACCCCCGGCAGAACGGCACAACCTCCATCTTTGAGTATGAGCAGACGGCAGGAGTGGCGAAGCTGGCGGGGATCAGCCTGGCGAACCTGCTCATCTCATCGCAGGCGGATTTCTTTGTGGGCGCGCTGGGCTCCAACTGGAACCGCCTCATCAGTGAGCTCAAGGCCACCAGTGGAAGGCTCTATGCGTCCGTGAATTTCGACGAGTGGTAGTCATGCGAATGGATGAGTGTACTGTGTTTGTTGATGTACTTTTGAGGATGATGTGTGGGTGGATAGGCATTATTGGTAGACCCTGTCGAATCAGAGTTCCAGGCTGGGCCAACCCTGACTCCTAAGGTAAAAAACGGGGAAAAATAAACCTAACCTGGTTATGTCAGTGTATTAGGAGTCAGAATCTAGAGCAGGAATGGTTGACTAGAAGCATGAGATGAGATGGGTACAAGTACCCCTAAAGTGTTGTACTCAGTAGAGGCTACCCCAATACAGCCTACAAAGATAGAAAGGTAGTTTGACGCACTCCTGTGGGCAACGTGGGGGATAACAAGAACAACCTATGGTTATAAGGCCAGTCAAGCAAGAGGGCAAAGCAAAACAAAGCTTAGGGTGAATCACGAAGTCACTAGACAGTCTGAGCACAATTCGAAGGCCATAAGCAGACCCTCAGATATCAGCGTAAAACACGCTGATTAGGCTGATTTTGAAGCTGCGATTTTCCTTGTCCCTAAAAAAATAGTATCCTGTCTATCTTATCGGCAGCACTGGATCTTCAGTTTAATGTTTCAAATCACACTGACAAATTAGTGTAGTGGTGTACTGCTAATACTGTTCAATCAGTATAGTGATGGGGACCACACTGATTGAGTACACGTGTACTTGGGAAGTTCGGCCTTGATATCGGGCAATAACCTCTGCTCATCTAATCCAATTCAGGGCACGGATTTATTACTTCCGTTCACTGAATTCAAACCCGCGATCTACCGTAAACGCCCGGATATAAGACAGTGTTGAATAGTAGACAGGGGTTGTCTACTATACGGGTGTCTCTTATAAACAGGCTAGCCTCATTATAAGACACCTATTTGTGTGTACGAGATAAGACATATATGTCTTATAATCGAAACTTCAATACATTATAGCGAAAGTTGAAATAACGCGTACATTTTTACCCTTGCGAAGCGCGAATTCTTCCACGCGCTGACCCAGGACCTACCAAATTTGCCTCTGCAGGTGTTCTCCATGACGTGGCGTCCCGGGCAGTGGTTGCCGAAGTGGCACCTTCGCAACATCCACACTCATTATGAGGAACTCTTTTTCAAGAAGTACGGAAAAAATTCTAAGTAGATTAATACAAAAGTTTCCATTTATAAGACTTATAAGACACCCTAAACCATCCCGTTTACAAGATAACTCAAGCATTTTTGCCCGTGTACGAGATAAGACATATATGTCTTATATCCGGGCGATGACGTACTGCGTTCTACACTGATATAAACCCAATAGTCTAGTGCCATGTAAGCAAGACAAAGCTCACCATGCTGCTTCAACTCTCGTGCGAGGAAGTAGCGCAGAGCGATATGTTTCGTTCTGTGCTCCTGTTTGTGCTCGTAACACTAGGCATTCATGGCGGCCTTGTTGTCGACGTACAGAATTGGAGGAGAACGAGGCTGCTCTCCCAGGTCAGTAAGCATGTACGCCAGCCAGCGAAACTCATGTGTAGCAGAATAGGACTGTCAGGATACTGATAGGGTATGCGAAGTCTGGTCGAGTGCAGGTCATCAGTTACATGAGGCAGCCCACAAGCTCTGGATACTGACCACTCGGCTCTACAGGCATGTTCTAAGGTGGAGCTGAGAGCGAGTGGCCTATAGGCAGAGGAGTGGATTATCGCGAGGAGAACTAGAAGCCGAAGTGCTGAAGGACCTGGTGCACCATGTGTGACTGAGTCAGAGTGATGGTGCGACGTGCTCTGTCCCGGGTAATCTGCAAGCCAAGATAGCTGCGCAGCTCACCAAGGTCAACACAGGTTTGTCTCTTCTGCAGCTTCGACTTCACAAGGGCCAGTGCCTCAGTGTCAGCAGTGGCAAAGTCCAAGTCGTCGACGTACACGAGGACGTAGAACGGCGGCAGAGAAGTGTCGGTGCGCAGAAACAGCGACGGGTTAGCAGTCGAAGGAGCAAACCCAAGAGCCGCAAGCGTCGTCCTCAATTTGTCGTGCCATTCGCGAGGCCTGTGGCGCAGATTGTAGACTGGCTGCTGGAGGCTCCCCTCGATACCCTCAGGAAACGACTCTATAAGGCCAGGTGGGCGGGGTAGTCAGATCTCATCGTGTAGGCTGCCTTGCAAGAAAGCTATGCTGAATTTAAGTGAGTGGAGCTCAAAGTCGTGCTGTGCTGCAACGTGTACCGTATTCCCTCGGATAGAAGACCCCCCCAAAATACAACACCCCCGGGTACCTAATACGGGGAGGGTCTTTTATTTAACCACTTTATCGTTATACCCCCCCTTTGGGGGTTAATTAATAAAAGACCCCCCCTCTCCCCTAGAGGGGGGTTTCTGATGAACTTTTCCAGGCAAAAAACACTAATAGAGCAGGAAACAACAGATTCTAGCATGGAAGACGACTACTATGTTACACATCAAGTGCTGCACCCTATCTAGAGCATCAACTGGTTCGTTCTAACATAGCTTCTAGTTATCATCAGCCCCCGCAACCCACACTTCCACCTCCTCCCCTTCATAGCGGCCAGGAGCCCACCACTCATCCTCCGGGTCAGAATCACCACATGCACCACCGGTGGCTCCCTCTAATCCCTCATCTGCCTCGTCAGCGTAGTCTTGGTCTGCCATATCTTCGTCATCGTTGTCCTCCTCGTGAGCGTTGTCCTCCTCGTCAGTCAGGCTCCTGTCAGCATGCACCTCCTGCTCCGTTGCTGTCTGGGGGCTGGCTCGCGCGGCGACCTCCTCAGGGTCCTCGTAGAAGGGGTTGGGATGAGTCACGTCCTCCTCCTCCTGCACGTCCTCCAAGACGTCGATATTCGCCTTGTCCCGCAGGTGTGCGAGGATGAGGTGGTCCTGGTCGCCGTTCAGCGCGTTGGAGATGCCGCACGTTAAGAACGCCTTCCTGACGAGCTCCTCCGGCACGGCCTTCCAGGACTCATCGATCCACCGAAGGGTGAGTTCTGCCGGTGGTTTCTTCAGGTTCCCGGCAAGCAACAACAAAGAAGACACATCGTTAGAAGATTAAAGGACACTTTACAAAAAGGACGAGGCAAACAACATGAACTCACCAGCGCGGGTCCTGTGGTTCACGCCATCTTCTTCGAACCACGTTGCATAGCAGTGTCTCATCCCCGCTTTAAAGGCGCGGTTAATCGCCACGTCAAGAGGCTGCAGGAGCGGAGTGCAGCCTCCCGGGATGACCGCGCAGGTGATCCTGAACATCCTCATGATCTGCCTCACGGATTCCGTGAGGTGACCACGATAGGAGTCCAGCGTAAAGAGAGCCTCCCTGCGCCGACCCCCTCCCTCCCGCAAAGGACGCAGGAAGGGGACAAGGACCTGAGTGGTCCAGTCCTGGACGAAGGACTCGTCCATCCATCCCTTGGCTTGGGCGCGCACCACGATGCCTGCAATGCGCACAAGCGAGACATTAGTGAACGGTTTCAATGAACTGAGCACACAATTAAGTGCTTACCCTCGGGAATAGGGATCTTCGGCAGGGTCTTCCGCTTGAAAACAACGTAGGGAGGCAGCTTCATTCCACCCGCCGTCACCGCCAGCATGACGGTGAGTCGCTCCTTCTCATAGCCGGCAGAGCGCACTTGGACTGTGCGCGCACCCTTCATCTCGAGCGTGCGTTCAGACGGCATCTCAAAAAATAGCGGGGTCTGGTCCACGTTAACGATGAGATTCGGAGGGTAATCGTGGAGCGTACGCATCTGACGCACGAACTGCCAAAACGACTCCGCCTTTGGCTTGCAATCTGCCATGCACAAAAACAAAAAGCGTAAAGAATCGTTAGATGCCACGAATCAAGAAGGATGTGGAGGAGTTCGAGGGCAGATCGATGTGGGATTAAACCAATGCTTACCGGCGGTCAACTTCTGGCCCATCTTGGTCTTGACTCGCCTAGCCAGAGACCACCGGCGACGAAATCGGAATGTCCAGCGCGAAGAAGCCTTCCATGTCACCCCAGGAAGCTGGTGCTTCATCCAAGTGCGGCCCACTTTTGAATCTGCGCAATCGATACGGGCAGGCCCTTCGAACGTGCAGCCAAGAACTGCCAATAGACGGCACGTTCCATGGAACCGCCGAGGCGACAGCGACAACCCGCGGCCACCTTGAGCCTCTCAGCGAGCTTCTTCCACCCTCGGATCTGGCACGGCTGCACGTTCGCCATCCACGCGAGCTTGCGATCGGAAAGGTCTGGCTGAAGCTCTTGCATCTTCAGCCAGTGAAGCTTTTCTGTTGCCGTGTACGCGTGACGCTTCTTCTTCGACATGCGATGACGTGGTGAAGTCGTCTGCACATCCGCGTTCCTCTCCTTCTTACCTTGCGGCCTGGTTTGGGTAGGGAAAGCAGGCACGCGCACGCTAGTGTCAAACATTATATATGTTGTGTTTGTTTAGGCTACAGTGGGTTAGCCTATAGGGGGTACACAATTCTAGGGTTAGGTACTTGTACTGATTTCACTGTTAGTTCAATCATTCCAGTCCGTTCATTCTGACATGGTTTCAGAGCAGGTCCTTCGCTAGGACCTAAGTTCTCTTCGGGCCCACCACTACCTACTACCTACTAGCGCCCTCGTGCGCCCTACTATCGGAGTGCGCTTTAGCGCCTCCCCCCTTAGTGCCCTCGCGCGCTTCTCCTTTTTTTTTTCCGGCCCCGCTGGCCCCGTCGATCGCGCCCCGCTTAGAGGCCCCGCGGCCCCGTCGCGCTCCGCCTAAAGGCCCCGTCGCGCTCTTCTTAGAGGCCCCCCGGCCCCGTCGCGCCCCACCTAACGGCCTCGCGGCCCCGTCGCGCCCCGCCTAGAGGCCCCGCGGCCCCGTCGCGTCCCGCTTAGAGGCCCCGCGGCCCCGTCGCGCCCCACCTCACGGCCCCGCGACCCCGTTGCGCCCCGCTTAGCGGCCCCGCTGGCCCCGTCGATCGAGCCCCGCCTAGAGGCCCCGCGGCCCCGTCGCGCCCCACCTCACGGCCCCGCGACCCCGTTG